TGAATGACTTGCTTCATACCAGAATTTCCAACAGTATTGGTGATTTACGCTACGGTGCAAGCCATTTGTTTACACATTACATCGAAGTACAAAAAATTGCCTTCTGTGTACTTATTGCAACACTGGATTGACATTTTTCAGGAAAATAAGCCGTGCCGTCATGACGAAAGATCTCGATAAAGTTAGACCACACAAGTTACAGCTCGAATTATCGATTGTTGACGTATTGATCGAGCTAATAGATTCAATCGACCTGGTCTTATTGAAATGCACTACTTGGAGCATACTTTGGCCGAAATTATGTTTTGATGTTGTAAGGTAAATATCCATACAAATTGATTATCCGGATAATATAACACGTATCACAGAATTGCACTATCTCTGCTCTCAAAAAAGAGGGTCAATTACTCTTTGGATTGGTTGAATATTTAAGTATATCGCTCCTTTTTTCGAGAATACTGCGGACAACTATCTGTCCCAGGTCGCTTTGCATTTGTCGATTTGATAGTACTTCATATCACCATGGATCAAAACAGGTATCAAAGAGCGCTTCAGCGCAAACGACATGCTAGAGTCCAAGTGTAAAACGATTCGAAACGACCTGCGAAGTATATTTACCGAGCGCGAAACACGAATATAGATATTGTAGCAACAAGCCCCTGCGATGACAGTGAAGGACATGTCTACCCTTGGCCGTTTGCTACTCTGCCAGGGTACTGAAGTTGGTATTTTGTGTGGTCTCATATGCTTTCTAGGTGACAACTCACGTAATTTGCACTCTTGTGATCTTGTGGCACATGCTCAGTCAGTCCATTGATTCGTCGTGGCTGACACACAGTCAGGTAGGAGCAATCAGGATTACGATAGATCATTGAGATTGTGCAAATTGACCTCCTAACTACTAACTAGTTGAGTTTAATGAGCGGTGGCGACCTGTTCATGACATTTACGCGCCTCAAGACATTCTCGCTTCATGGGGTATCCCTCCATTATCACAAGAGCAGTCTATTCCTGTGTCCGTACTTGGCTCTCGCACTGCTTTTGGTGACATCCGATCCGAGTCCATTTTTCCTGAACCTAATCCAACAGGACGGTGTGGCCGGTGCGGTAGTGCCGATATTGCTACTTTCCTGGTGAGTATCAACTTTGGCGTTAACTTCTCCTGAATATCATAGAAAGCTAATGGGATCGGCGCCATATCACAGCTTGAGGCCCACCTCAATGGGATCGTAGACAACTTGGACGATGCCCAGGATTCGTGTGTTCAGTCCGAAAAACCGCAAACCTCCGTACATCGTGCAGCTTGTCAATCAAGAGCTCAAGCAGTTGGAGGCAAAACATCTACTACAGAGGTCCACCACATTTTTCTCTCTACTCAAAATGTATGAACTGTATACTGTACTACGATTTCAACATTAAGTTTTCAGAGGTCATTTGAACGCGGTGGTTCGTGTTTTGAAATTTCAAATGTGAGGCAGTGTCGATGACAAGTAGGAAAAGTCATTCAGCAAAATGAAGGATAGAATTATGCCGCGAAGCAAGCGATTGACCATTCATGACAAGAACATAATTCGAGCCTACTTCGAGGCAAACGCGTTCTTAAAGACACGCGAAATTCAAAACTGGGCGACCCAACAATTCGTCTTCGAGCTGCACATCACGAACATCCGTCGCATCCTCAAGGATAATCGATCTCTCGAGTCCTACAACATGGCAGATGGGCCAGCAAAATTCCGCACCAACATATACCGACCACGTCACCCTGGGCACGACAAAAAGGTCGCCGAATGGGTGACCATGGCAAACGATCGAGATGCATTCGTAACTGGCATGTTGATTGCGCGGGCTGGAGAACGAATCGCGAAAGAACTCGACCTACAAGACCGCGTGAAGCGCTCAAAAGACTGGCTGTATCGACTTCAAAAACGTCACCTTCTCCAAATGCACCGACTCCATGGAGAAGCCGCATCGGCTCGCCCTGATGTTGTTGCCACTGGTCGCGAAACAATTCAAAGTGTCACTCAGCTGTACAATGCCCCGGACATCTACAACATTGATGAAACCGGGGTATTTTACAATGGATATCCTCGTACCACAATCTCTGACAAGCCGCGAGCCGGATACAAGCAAGACAAGAGTCGAATTTCTGTAGCACTTGCAACCAACGCCGACGGATCAGACAAGCTGTCACCGATGTTTATTGGGAAATAAAAAGAGCCAAGTTGCTTTGGTCGTTGTCGTTGTTGTACCACTCGAATCGCAAGGCCTGGATGACCATAGCCTTGTTTTCCGAGTGGATCAACGACTTCAATTCACGAATGGCCTTTGAAGGTCCTACTCATCCTTGACAATGCGTCCTCGCATGACCCTTTGGATGTTGCACTTACCAACGTGCGATTATTGATGCTTCCGCCCTACACGACTGCCTTTCTGCAGCCAATGGATGCCGGCATCATCGCGTGTTTCAAGCGACACTACACGAGGCGTCAAATGGATTTTGTTTGTGATCTCGTGGAGAAAATTACCGATGGATGTTTCTCCGCGGGGAAAAACTTGTACACTGTTGACGTCTTACTGCCATGCAGTGGTCGCTGCAAGCGTGGGAGTGCGTGACACGACAAATCGAAACTGCTGGAGCCACACGGGTATTGTTAATCGTGAAGAACTATTCGATCAGCTTCATTCGGTGCGGATCACCTCAGGTCATTCGATTGCAAGTTTGCTCAACTGAGCCCAACAACACCTTTACAATATTATGTTTGCGCTTTTTTGTGTTTCCAAATGTCTGTTAGAATTTATTTGAAGGTGGAGCGAAATCTGGTAGATCTCTGTATCAGGTGTGTCAACTAATTCGAACCTGCTTGAAAACGGGCTTTCAATAGCACTCTATCCGCAGTGGCGCGGCGCAGTGGACGGCATCCTCCTCCAAGATAAACATGCAATAGGTGTACGCGAGGGCAATTGTCCATGGATTGGTCCATGGATGCCCGTAGCAAGGCATTTGCATACATCGGTAAAGCTCAGTCGTCGATGATCATCTCAGAAACGATTACGATTTCTAGGAACAACTCTACGTGACGATTTGGCAAGCGCCTCACGGGGTGGGACCCACATGCACACGTGGAGCCACCAACGCTCAAATTTCTTCATCGCGTGCTCGGCAGACCTGGACTTGCTGGGGGCATATCGACGCTGCATATTTTCCAACGCGTGTGGCTTCGTGGGCGAAGCTACCAATTGCAATGTCTCCGATGCGGTTTGAAACTCCCTTTTCGCTGCGTTGCTTCTTCATTTGACAGACCAGCCACAGTTCAACCCAACCTCATCGTTCAACATCGCTGTATCACAGGCCAGATGTCATTCAGCCGGCAATTGCGACGTTTTGCAAGCATTTTTGGCGGCAATACGACGTGTGTATGTCTCAACGTACACATCGCACTAATGCACGACGTGTGATACGGCGCTGCTACTGCGCCAAATAAATTTAAAACTCTACTTGCTCGAAATGAAGTTGGACCACCTTCAACGTCCTACGTCTGTGGTCGCACCGATGTGTGACGGTTTGCCAGATCCAAGCTCCTCCATTTCCGTGTCTCTGACAGGAATCAGCACAACGATTGCTTCGTTCTTGTACAAGTGGTATGTTGAACGTCCTTTTTCGGTCAGCGTGTCATGCGCTGTCGGACCAAACAAAGCTCAGTCAACTAAAATCGACTGTGGCCATCGTCAAATTTGTGTCCCAATTGCCCCACAAAATCACGTTAGCCGAAAGCGACTGCTTGCCTTACACCCGTTGAAGAGTACGGTGTGGCGCCTGTGTCAACGCCTGGAATCGAAATACAATGTCAACATGGCGAAGCTCGACGGAAAGGCAAAGATGCCATCGGCCCCCATGTACGCACTGGACTCGGCGCAATCGATGACGCCAATCACATGCTTGCAGACATGGCCGCTCGAACTGCCGCGATGATGCTACCAAACGTAGTTAAGAAGTACTCCATATAGTAATTCTTACGCCCGTGAGTTGATCGGCACTACAAAAACCACGGAGAAACACAACTGTGATCCCGTCGAATTTCTATAAACGCCATCCGCAATAATTGAGCGATGCCCAAATATGACCTAACGTTAATATATCTTGCGCCAGGTACATGAAGCAATGCTAGATATCATGCGCCACATGAATTACCCGATCGATTATTGCCCGTGTAACATTAATTCACACTTTCTCACTTGCTGGTTTCGGCGGCCTGTGAATTTAGCGACGAATGAGCTTGATCCCTATCGATACGATTCAACGATGACAAACCAAGGAGATTCTATGACGGCGACACATACATTGACACAATGCGCAAGGGTTTGACGGCAGTTACTCAATATCGTGATATGGCATGTGCAGTAGACCTCCTGGCGAATGAAATGATATTAACACAGTGATTGGGTACACACTTGTGCAACATGACATCCCTATAATTTTATAAACTATTCACAAATTGACCGGGCACTTCAACGAGTACATCATCCACTTTGGGTGATTCATGACTTGACCAGAGATTATGCATCGTGTTGTACAGGTCGTCTTTTCTAGAATGCTCAGTAGATTGGCGATTTGGTCGATCACTACTGAAATTCAATATATCATCCAAGGTCATCCACCACTCGACGTTCATGGCCAGCCAAAGCACCACAACACCAGCTAAGAGACTCCTCTCCGCCAGCAAAATTGCCAAAGCAGTTGATGCACTTGCGGTAATTGACGAACGCCGTCACACCAAGCGTCAGCGATTTTCAATTGAGTCCAGTGATGCTACTGCTGAGGACCTAGACTCTGTCTCGCCCGTTATAGACCGGTACATTGCCGTCAAAGGGTTGAGGTCGTCCACGCCCTGACCAATTTTTCGGTGTCCGAGCTCAATACTCTCTGGTCCAACATCAAGCCATATGTGTCCAAGAACTGGAATGTTGGTGGTGGCCGCAAATGTCCGGTGACTGGGAAGGACATGCTCTTCATGACCCTCGTGACGCTCAAGCATGCTGGCACTTGGGATATCCTTGCTGCCAGTTTTGACGAGAAGGCCGCAACGTTCAGCAACCGCATCACCCAATTTATCCGTGTTCTCCATCCGTATCTGATCCGCAAGAACATCGATGAACAAGGAGTCAAGTGGACGATGCACCAGCTTGCTGTCGCTGGTCATCAATTTGAAACCTACAAGTCGGCGCTTTATGCCGTTGACGTCACCTTTCAGCAAACCACTGCACCTGCGGTATCCTTTGGCGAGAAGAAAACGTACTTCTCCAAGAAGCATGGACTCTATGGTCACAAGGTCGAAGTGTCGGTGGCTCCGAACGGCTTGGCCATCAATGCAACGGATTGTGCTGTGGGCAGCACGTCGGACTTTGAAATGTTTAAGGCCAACCTGGGCTTCCACTCACACCAACTGGAGAAGCAGCCAAACGATTACAACTGGGACGATTGGAGTGGCCTTGGCGTCGTTCTGTTAGTATGGTGGGAGGTGTGGAACTTGCAAATGAAATGAAGTTGTTGTTCCTATGCATATCCACGCAAGAACTTGTACAGTGCACATGAAGACGTCCATTTGATAAGTTCTGTGTGTCGTAATGCCTCTGTGGCTATGGCGGATGCGGCTGCTGCCGCCACAGGTTATGCCAGAAGCTCGAGACGTTCCTTGTGCCACAGTGCCCAACGAGCTGATGCGCGAATCATCTTCAAAGGCGTTTGGGTTATCGATGCAGATTTGGAGTTGATGGGTTCTACGTCATACGTCAGGTTTTTGTGCTTGCGCCGGCTCACGACCCGCTCAGGTTCAATTGGGTTTATCTTCCTTTGGTTGTTTGGGATCCTGCTGAAGTACTGTTGGTTGAGTTTGCCATTTCATTAATGGAGTTGAATTACCTTGTTTCAGCATGTAGTGTAATCAAAGGCTGCCATGGCAGCCCCACTATAAAATCTTCAAGTAAATCCTTGTTGTCAAATTCTGCCATCCGTTCATTACAGTGGCCGAAGGCATCGACCGACCTTCCGCATAATTCATCAAATTCCACAGATCATAACCTCTTGGGTGCTTATGCAGTAAATACTATTCATTTGAAAACTATTGACTCGTTGAGGAATTAGTTATCGGGCATCATACAGTAGTCACCCAACGATATTCCTTGACGTCCAATTCGATGCCGTACGTGGCAAATGCCTGCAGCATTCGTACTTTTGTCCACCACGATCCTGTAGGGGTGACTTCCGGTAGGCCCTTGTGGTACTTGGAATAATCTAACGCAATGATCGCGCTCGATTTTGTAATGCAGCATTGAAACCATGCGACAAAGTATGCATGGTTAAACATTGCGTAGAAATCCTTGGGTTGTTTACGACCTCCTTCAAACGTTCGTAGGTCAAGAGCTTGGGTTTCCGCGGCCGTCAGCTATTATGGTGGCTATGAAACAGAGCCGTCGATGGACACACAAGAAACTTCAACGACCCTGTTAGGGACGCAAGCGAAATTTCTTCTATACGTATAACATCCCTGCTCATGTCATACATGGTAAACAAATCAAAGGCAACCTTCATCTGTTCATTGTGCATTGTCAATTCTTGTTTTCAATGTATGAATAGCTGAAATCAGTTTTATGAAATTGAGTCGTTCTTTGAATTCCGCTTAAATATCCTCGAAAATCGACCATCTGTTGTTGATGGTTGAACAATCGTTCAAATCGACGATGTACTGTACACCGTATTTCTATGTTTATATTCGACGATCAAGATCGTCCCGATTTGAAGCTCAACCTGTATACTCTCTCTGTCCCACATAAATTAAGCGAATCAGGAAAATGGCGTACTCCTCCCCGAAAAATTATACAGCCACTTCAAGACATTATACTCGGTATAAATTTGAAAGATGTAATAACGACACGGCTGTCCAATCGAATCATGCAAAAAACATTTCGCAGAACCAATCAAATGGCGGAATAGAGCAATTCTGACAGTGCCATTCGATTCGATTCAGGAGGGGGGTTTAACTCGACATCCTACCGATCCTCACAACTTCACGCAATACCTGCACACTACCCACACGGCACAAGTATCTACTTACTCCTCACCATCTATGTACTGTATATTGGCTCAATTCCTACTTCGCCCATTGCACGCATGATGTCTTCCGCCGCATCTGTCACACAGAGCAATGCTCTCGAGCTCGCGGGCCAGCTCGTCAAAGCTCCTCGCCTCTTCGACCTCTACCATCAACGTACGCTTCATAGCGGCAGCATCCTGTGCGACCATATTCCGCATGCCCGCCCGCGTCATACACTAAATATTTTATAATGTTAAACAAAAATAATTGTGTATGACGCGGGCGGGCATGCCGAAATCCGCGGGCATTGCACATTTTGAGGCACTGCACATCTTGAGGTAACTGTCCTTGGCGAGCCAGCTTCTCTTTTCCCATGTGGAGCAACTTGTAGGCATTGTCATCAAGGAGGCGCATGGTCTCCACAAGGCATGCTTGAAGCGAGAGGAACGTCCAGCCGAGGTTCTCCATCGGGTACTCGTCAAATGCTTGACCAACGTTGGCGACAAGGCCATCAATCATCTTGGCTGACTTTTTCTGTTGTAGAGACTGGATCGCAGCAAAGAAGCTGTCCAAGATGTTGGTGCCCGGGGAGTTTGGCGGCTGCGGTGCGAAAGAGAAAGACCCAGCCGTCCTTGCCGTATTCGTCGAAGGCTGCCTTGAGTTGCGGGTCCATCGGGGTTACATGTGAGCGAGCGTTGTCGTGCTGAAGCATAACGGTCTTGTTGGCGCTGGGCCATCTCGCCACAAAGAAGGGCAGGACTTTCTCGAGAAGAAAGGCTCGATACACGTCTTTTGTCACCGTCAGCAGCTTCGTTTCATAGGTGCCGGCTGGGCGGTTGACGCTCGCACGTTGAGCAGGCACGGACTCGACAAATGGCCACGTGCCTATTTTGCCGTCTCACCATGTGTTGTCAGCAGCTTCGTTTCATAGGTGCCGGCTGGGCGGTTGACGCTCGCACGTTGAGGGGCACGGACTCGACAAAAGGCCACGTGCCTATTTTGCCGTTTCACCAATGGCTCGTTTCGTCGTTGTATCTGGGGCGGTCCACAGCACTGAGAAACCTTTGTAATGTACCTCTTGCTTTTACACTTTCGTTTTAGTTCTTGCTCACCAGGCACCACATAGTACTTGCGGGTGGTTTTTGTTTGGTAAAGCCATTTTTCATCAAGGTGCACGGAGGTCAACATGTCTGAAAGGTGCATGTCAGACTTGACCATGCTCAAGGCAAACTTGAGTCTGCAGTACTTGTTCGCGTTGGTCAAAATCGGACGAAGGGCATTGGAGTGGGCACGAAACAAGCCTAGCTTTAGATAACGGTGCAATGAGCCGCGACTTATTCCTATGATATGCTTAGTTGTTGTCGAAGATGCGTATATACCAGTGTTTTCAGAGATTGATCGAAGCGTTGTTCTTTGTGCAAGAGGTACCTGCAGCATCTTGGCCTTAATTTGCTCGGCTGTATATGCCATTTTCTTGCCTACTCTGCCTTCCTTTTTGTTAGCTACAGACACCTTCATGTTTCCACGACAGAAGCCTTGTGCCTTGGCCAAGGCAAGGATTCGGCGTATCGTTGACACATGGCAGTGGTATTTTGCGGCCAGCATATGACTTGTGCTCTTTGGCAGTCGAGCGGGGAAACGGTTGTTACTTTGAAGCAGGATTCCCGACGGATGGCTTCGCGCTTCTCGTTCGTCAGGTCGGGCCGTGTTGGTGGCATTTTTGAATGTGTGTCATATCTGTTGAATGTTTTATATGGAATTTTGTATGCTGACTGTAACTGGGCAAAAATGACCCGCGTTTTTGAGATTCGTGCTCATACTTACACACATTGAAAGCTTATGGCGCGCTCTTTGCAATGATCCAATCAGAGGTGTAGATTTTTGAATTGAGGAGGGATTTGCTCGTGTTGAATTTATCTTCAAAATTTAATTACCCGTTATGTACACCCTCCTCAAACTCGCGCAATTGTTGTGGGACGGAGGGAGTATGATACAAATGACATTTTTTGTGTCTTGAATACGTGGCAGCAGTCACAGTCTATCTTGTTCATATTCAGACGATACTTCTTTCAGTTTGAATGCTTCGATCTACCAGATAAGCAATCTGCTCTGCAACACCTACAGCATTGCTATGTCATAGGTGTGCATGCTGCATGCGAAGTATCAAGCGACATTCGTATCTCGATAATCTGCGTCGTAGCTCACTATCGTCGAAGCTTGTAGCCACGTCACAGAGCTCCGTGGTGAGTCCAGACGTTGCGGGCTGTGTTGAAGAATGAAAGATGAATGATCATGCAAACCATGACCCATGATCCTAATGATGACCAATCAAATTGAAGGATGAATTTATCAGATGACGATAAATTACTTCCTATGTTCCATATTAGTGCTGACATTTGAAAATCATACTTTTTCCATATTAATCGCAGCATTTCAAATTGATTGGTATAGAGGTTTTAGTGGCTGAATATTTTTATTATTTTTCTCCTTCCCTTTATATTGGTTTTGACAAGGATTTGTTTTTTGTAGATCCTTTTTAGTTTGTACAGTTTTTTCATTCAATTGCGCAGGACATTCCTTTTTGAATCGAATGCGTATAAAATTGTAAGAATCCATAAATCCTGTCACATCAAACCTCTGCTGGGCCCCTCGATGCCCTCGCGGACTGTGAGTTGACTTCGGAGCCCAAGAGAATGATAAGAACATCAACGGCACCTCGCACACGCTATTGTTTGTTACTCAAGATATGGGCGATATTAGAAGTTTTGCATCAGATTGTATACTTTAGTTGACATGTCAGTTGCGAAGCCATATCACATGGCACAGTATTCAAAATGACAGTGTCCTCCAAATATTTATATTCAGATTCTGC